ATGTTTCGGGTAATAAAACTTGATAATAATTGCACTGACGGTGTGTCAGCTACTGAGGACAACGTTGATAAACATTCATACCAATAAAATTATCTCACACAGTGTTTCTGTTGAGTTTTCATTGAAAAGATGAGTCGGCACGAAGCACTTTTCATTGTTTACATGTTGGGAGAACCAAACTTCCTGTCACGTGGTTGGCTAACTTGATTCAATTACCCTTGATCAGATAAAAATGTCGTCTGCGCATCAAAAATTCCTTGTCACAAACGATGAAAAACATCAAAGTTTATCCAAAGCTGCCCCAGTCCGAGAACCTCGTTGATATAATTCGTTGCCGCGACTGTCCTTTCACCACTTGACAGACATGCTTTGTTAAAAAGTCGTTGGTGTTTTGCACACAGTGAGAAAACGACCCCACTCTAGCCACCATGTAACATCAGCACATGTGCCAAGATGGAAGGTTTATTATAGTGACGTAATACATTAGCCTATAGTGAGCGGGTCGTAGGTTAAAGGTCACATCGGTTATGTTTATAATATTATGACACCGTCTAGTCGTTCAGATGGGACGAAAAACCGAGGCCGCGTGTACACAAAAGATCCATTGACCGTTGGAATTCGATATACGAATAGTGCTGCTGTCCGAGCAAAATTATATCCCTCATAGCACACTGCAATGGCGCATGCCCGTCTTCATTAGCCCAGTTCGAAGCAGAACAGTAGGACGTTAAACCCCATTTCATTTCATTTCAAATTGAATGAGTGATAGGTTTAACTTCGAGAAATGTTCAACAAAAGTGTGAGCAGTACTCTTGAAACTTTTAAAGAAATAATTAATGATGTAAGAGATCACTGTTACCAAAAAGAGATGTAATAAAATGGATATTGGATATCAAATTTTAACCAATATACTGGATACTATGTCGGACCGGGCTTCAACGGATAACACATTTAATCGTCTGTTGCCTGCTTATCTTGAGGACGTATTACTTTGGGTGATTGATGGATGGGAACAACTGGAAACTGATGAGAAAAAGGCTGTGCACAAAAATGAACAATTTATTTTGTGGTCTGCACTTGCTGTCGGTATGGCCGATTCTTGTGAAGAGAGCAGCGAAACTATTTGGACGGAGCAGAAGTTGGCTCAGCAGCAGTGCCATAATTGAAAAGATATTATCTCAGAGCTGACAGTGGCTGCTACAGATTATTGCGAACCGCATGCAAGGCGTTCGCTGTTGGAGATGATGAGAAGAATGTAGTTAATTTAGAGTGGCAAACTATTTTTAAAGACACACAGAAACGAAAAGAATAGAATGATCCGCTTTAACCTAATTTTTGTTCTGGGTCATGCTGTGTTCTTCCACAGTGAAGATATGTCATATTTTTTAGAAAAAGTTTAAAAATAGCCTATTAAAAGCAGTATACTTGGATGTTAAAGAAACATTGTATATCTGTGGTTGCAGGGCTTTAGGATTGATTTCAAAATTCATCACTGGGCCCTTATGCAAACACCTAGAAAGTAAGTGACATGTACTGGACATGAATATCCATTATAAAACTATTGTGGATTTCTTTGACAAATGTCAAAAATGAGCCAGAAGTGATAAATGACTTCATAACTGGGGAAATTACTCCTTTTGAAACAGTTGTTGATATCGAAGATGCAGTTTTTCGAAAATTAGTGCTTAATATGAGTATTATTATTAATTTTTTTATTATTATTTTAGGTTTTTTTTTAATACTCAGAAACAAAATTTTGTTTAAATATGTTGATTCTATTGTATTATTGTTAATGATTGTGTCCAAAGTTCCAAGTTTACGTAATTATTTTATCTTCTGTACGGTTATTACAAACATTAGAAAATAAACTTCTAGACCTATGTGCAATGTGTTTGTTTGTGCGTAAATAAGCTTAATTTTGGTGTAATTATTATGTCTCTAGGGCTTTTGGTTTCTGAGATATGAAGTGGGGTTGAAAATTGAAGAATGGTCAATTTCGCGAACAAGGGGTCAGCCAGTTCGCGTTACTAATTGGACAGTAACTCAGCAAATTCTGCTCCGATTTTGATAAACTTGGTGTTATTACAATCCTGAGATATACATGTATAGCTTTCGGAAAATAACAAGCTTTTGGAGTCGAAAATAATACTTTAAAATAGCTGCCGGTCGTTAATTTCAGTATCCCTCCCTAACTTCATCCGACGCGGGATAATAAGCAATTGAAGTACAATCGGCGTGGATTTAAGTCGTAAATTTTTTTGTCCTAAAAGTGCAATTGACGATCAGCAGCTTTTAATTTCGTCGTATTTGTTCAATTAATGGCATTTACATTAACTAGTAGAATAAATTGTGTAATGGTAATCGCATTACATTTCAAAATGTGTAATCAAACACAATTTGTTTTCCATTGTATATTTTGTATTGATTTAGACGGTTGTAAACAAATGTATCCTTTAGCAAGTCATTCAATACCTAGAACTAGAAAAAGACTCTGTGTAACACTATATCTTAGTGATAAGAGTGGTCAGTTTAGTAAATGTACCATTTATCTACACCAGGAAAAAATATAAATCGGCTACATAAAGTAAACAGGAACATAAAATTAAACAGGAACTAAACTACGTCAGGAACATAAAAGAGAGAGAGAGATGGAGTTTAACGTCCACTCGACACAAACCAGGTCATTTCGGGACTAACATATGGTTTAATTTTATTTCTATAATTCGCTTGCGCGTAGGGGTCTTTAGCAGTGGGAGGATACCGGAGGACCCGGAGAAAACCCACGAGGTTGGACAGGAACATAAACAATAACATCAACACGGTACATTAATATAGTATATGACTATATTTCAACCATTTCTGCCTCGGCAGTGGTTGAAATTGGATGAGCCCATTCGCCGGTCCCGGATCCTCTCTGCCCCCCCCCCTCTCTAACTGTCAGTAAACTCTTGGTAATATAACAATAATATAATAATAATATTGTCATTTATAAAGCGCGTTAATACTGAAGAAAACAGTTTCTAAGGCGCTGTTGGTTTTTATATTCACTGATTATTTACAGATCAGGGTTTGAAATAAGAATGTTTTGAGTTGAGATTTAAAATGGCCCACAGACGGTAATTATTTCATTGATTGTGGTAGTCTATTCCATAGAAAAGGACCAGCATAAGAAAAGGCACGTTTTCCAAGTTAATGGCTGAAGATTTTAGAAGTTGTTTTTTCTGAGAACTGAGATTTCTGCTAGTAGTATAGGGTTCTACAAGACTTTTTATATAAGATGGTGCTTGGTCGTTTAACGCTTTGAAGACGAAGAGGGGTAACTTGAACTTAATTTTTTTTGCTGAATTGGGAGCTAATGTAAAGATTGCAATACAGGGGAGATGTGTTGAAGTTTTCTAGTTTTAGTGAGGAGTCGAGCTGCTGGATTTTGAACATGTTGTAGTTTGTTAATCTGATAGTCTGGTAAGGTAAACCATTGTGGTAATCTAGTTTAGTTGAATGAGTTTTCTTTATTTTCATAATTGAAATAGGGTTGGATATTTCCAATTCGATGTATATGATAGAAGGCGGTGGAGTAAATACTTTGTATGTGATCTTTAAACGATAGGCCCAACAATTAGAGAAAATGGATACTAATGGGATGCGAACTTCCAATAAGGAATTTGAGTCCAACTACACAACCTCAGGTTATGTATAGCTGACCACATACGTATTTCAATTTAAGACCAAGGTCAGATTATACACGTGGGATTGATTCGGTAATTCATGTATTATCAAAACTATGTTAATAATTTCACTGCACATAAATTTGATGAAAGCTATAGAGCACTTTGTCAGATCTTATGTGCTATGAGGGGAATTTTGAGTGGATAAATGTGTACACGGTGCCGGAAATCCCGATGAAAGACGAGGTCTCTGGGTTTTTTGCTATCCAGTTCCGTAAGTTGCAATCGACCGACCTTCAACGATAGATTGTCTTCTTTTACTTTTTGTTTTTACTGTCTGTAATTCGGACTTTCTAACGCCAGTGGCCAATCTGAACAACAGACTAACCGTACCTAACTACCATTTAGTTTTCGAATGTTAGTTACGTACGCTCCACTGGCCAAACCGTTTGACTGCATCCGTTGCATTACGACATCTAGTAATCTGCGAGAGCATCGCGTGTCATACACGGAAGTTATTGTATGGAAATGACATTAAATGGGGCTAAGCGTTCTACTTTTCTGCACTAACTGGAGTATATAAAAAATACTGTTTGCGTTACTTGGTAACATGCGATACATAATTAGGAAGAGTGGATAATTTCTTCATGTAAACACTTCATGCGATGTGTGTTTATAAAAATACTTATTATGGAGTGTAAAAATTATCATTGTTTTCCGATATAAAATTAAAGATTAACGATGATAAACACGATAAAATGGTTTTCGGCTTGTTTAAATTTCAATCTATTTGATTTTCAATAGTGTAGTTACTTTACCAAATCAATTTCCCTCGTATTCGATTTTATTCCTGCACACGACTTATATTTTATTAAAGGAAGTCTGTTGATAACCATGATATTGAGGCCAAAACAAATATATAATAAAGTCTAATTAAATATCAAACCTGAAAAAAGTCCGCTTTGACGGTCGATAATTATTGTCTAACAGTAACAATTGTGTACGCATATTAATATGTGTTCACAAATATTTGGTATGCTTTTGTGATATTTATCCGATTAACCTTGTTTGATCATGGTTTTAGAATAATCGACGTTTCAGAATCGTATGTCATTTACTCAATATGCACAACTACGATCGTTTGTTATAAAACGTATGCATATTCAATTATTGCCATGGAAACATTGTAAGGAAACGGTGTCTTGATGGTTATGATAAATTCTAACAACTGTGTCGCGTAATGAACTGTGTTTTCATCGTTATCAAGTTTCGCCGGGTGTGTCAATGATATTATTTTGCGTGTTAAAAACTTCGTTATCGGTATTCTACGTATTTATCAGCCATTCGATGATGTGACTAATCGAATCTGTGACTCAGGTTAAATCCCCCAGTACTGATTAATTAACGCTTAAACTCATTAAAACCGATGTCGTACACATTTTAATAAGGGTCAACAACGTCTTTACTTACGTTTTCCATGTCATCCACTCTTTTAACGATCGGTAACAACAGTGTTTCATTAAGTCAAATGTTTAACCACGGAAAGGTTGCGACGGGGTGTTCAGTGGGTAAATGATGTTGCGTGGGAATCTGAGTAATAACCTGTCCTAATTGGTTCCGCTATGGGCTCACGTTGATGGATTTAAGTCAGTGATAGACAATTATTCATGTAACTTTATTTTATGATATTCTGATAATTTATAATGGGCTGTGCAGCAACTAAGGATTATTCAACTCAAGCTAATGGTAAATGCAATTGTAAATGTCATCAAAATGGTGCGCCAACAAATGCACCGACAGACGGTGGTGTGGAAAAATTTACTGATGACCCCCGACTGCCGTTATCGGGTAGACAGAAATTTAGTTTAACGAAATCGTGGAAGGCTATCAGTAGAAATATTTCTCAAGCGGGTATGGTTATGTTTGTCAGGTAAGTTCAGTTCACACCATATTAACAGACTTTTGCCACTTTTTATTAGAAGGGGGCAGTGAACTATCTCTTAAAAAAGATAACTGTGAATAATAAATCCGTCCTATTGTTTTATCTTTATGTCATTAAAATATATTTACTTATATTTTCAAGGAAATCTTGACCACCGTGTGGCAAATCGAAGATCCGCAGCACAAACCCATGTGTAATCAGTTAAGCATTCAGTATTTAGGGATTTGTGTGAAACTAATTAACGTTCTTATTAATGTATCGAACATAACGGAATATTTTTTTATTAGAATATACTGTATAGCAAGACAACCAATATAATTGCACTGGTTAGTTTATTATAATATTTACTTATACGGGGGTTTTATCATGAAATAATGTTGGTTAATAATCAATAAATAATCATTCATTAAATAAAAAGTTCTCAAGACTAATTTTCTCAACTTTGTTTTTCTTATTGGGTTAGTTCTGATCAATTTAATATGGAAAAACGCCGATATAGAGACATTTCGGTATTTTGAATATTGATTGTTCAATCCGATGTGGTTTTTTTTTTCTAAAATCGAAGTATCCCGAAACGATGAAAATATAATGATCATATCATTATGTAAACCATGTTACATACTGTAGAAGTGAGAATATAATAGCTAAAGACGGGAACTATCATTGAGAGAGAGAGAGAAATGGGGTTTAACGTCCACTCGACACAAACTAGGTTATTTCGGGACTAACATATGGTTCAATTTTATTTCAATAATTGGCATTTCGCGTATGAGTGGGAGGAAACCGGAGGACCCGGAGAAATCCTACGAGGTTGAGAACTATGATTGAAACTATTTATTACCGGTAAACATTACATACAGCTCGTCCGACAAGCAGAGTAACTGCCCTGGAAGCGGAATGAAACCTAAAATACTTTATGAATGTACACATCGGCATTTGTAATAAAATCGTATCTTAGGAATTAACAATACACTAACGTTACTAATAACAATTACAGAGGAAAGAATTAAATATATAAGACAACAAAATAAAACAATAAGATAGTAATTAAAGGAGCCAAATCTGTAACATAATATTTTCCATAATATTCGAAAAAATAAAACAAATTAGAATTCAATATAATTTAATTAATATTGATGTTATCTTGATGTGGAAATGTAGGATCCTAATCTATATAAATAAAATCAAAGATGTGTCTATGTTCGCCCATCACACTTCGTCGCCGTGATCCACCCACACATTATGTGATATCAAATCCACCTGCATGACACACACACACATGTGATATCAAATTAGCCAGCATGACACCGTGATTCTTTTAGGCCATCACATTTGGGCCCCGGGCGAATTATGCTTCGTCGCTGCTCTCCACCGCAACATATATGCAATCAAATATGGGCAACGGGCGAAGCCGGGTATCCTGCTAGTATTCAATATTCAATATCGGGTGCCATTTTGTAATGAGCAAATAAAAACAAATCATACAAGACCATGTGGAAATAATTAGTAAAGGCTGATTCACAAACGAAAAAATAATATAATAATATAAAAACGTGTAGAATGGACTAAGCAAGCGTACACGGCTGCCGTTCAATTTGAACTGTTCCCATATTTCACCGAACATAATTGATCAGAAATTACAACACTTTTTTAAAAACTGAATGTAAATCACTTTACATCCATTCATATTACATTAACGTATGCTTTTAGAAACATTTTCGTTTATTTCAAGGTTCCAAAAAATAAAGTCATACGCCCTATAAACTCATTAAAGTTACAATTTCATATTTTTAAGTTATATATTTAAAATGTATTAAAATAAACCCCTAAAATAGAAGGTATCTATAAACAGTCCTACCTTGTTAAAGAATAATCCTATTAATCCTATAATTCACCATTGCCAGTTGAGAAATTGGCAAAAATATCATTTTCAACTTCAAATTCAAACGTTTGAAGATAGCTATTCCATGGTGGGGGAATAGGAAAACAAGGAGGTAATTGAGAGGTAATTGTATTATTATTTCCGGTGTGAAGATTTTTAAGTGTGAGAAAGATAACCTATGATCGTATAATAGTTAGTTGACAACCTATTGAGCAAAAGACATAGAAATAATTATGTTTTGACTTTTTTTTAGAAAATATGAAATTGTAACTTTAACATGTTAGCTGTCAATAGATTAGTAGCTTAGCGTCTAATTAATAATGAAAGATTAATATCGCGATTTCGATCCCTGCCGTGAGCGTATGTGGCTTGGAGACCGGGTACTCCGGTTTCCTCCCACAGGAAAGACCCCCGCGATATCACTATCGGTGGAAGCGGACGTTAAACACTATATATATATATAATAGAAGAAATAACATAATGATAGAAATTAAATATTGATAGGATGCAATACAAACAATTCACAAATTTATCAACATTATAATACTGGGCCCTTATTCACGAAAACTTAAACTAAGATACAATCGAAATTTTAAGAAATACTGCAATTCGATTGGCTGACTAGTAAAATCAATTTGCATATATCCAATTTGCATATTGGTCAGCCAATCGAATTGCAGTATTTCTTAAAATTTCGATTTTATCTTAGTTTAAGTTTTCGTGAATAAGGGCCCTGTTAAGATAGGCGGTCACTTTTTACATCATGTTATTATTTTTACTAGGGTTCTTTAAAATCAATGACGATTAAAAAATAAATGAGAATATTCAGGAGGTAGCTTGTCAAATTTAATTTAAAGTTGGCATACCACAAAATTTGAGGACACCCTAGGTAACTGCATAGTCAAATCAAAAATGTCACGATTTTAGTAGGCCTTTAGATCATACTATATGATTATATTGACGGAGATAAAACTTGAGTTGCAAATAAAATTTAGGTTGTCTAAGTTTTTTCAACTGATTTAGGACAATTATGCACCGCTAGAATCGAAAATGACAGTATCTCTTTAGAATCCCACAGTATTCAGCCATCATGACAGCATCCGAGCGTCCATGATACCAGGGCCCTGTTTCACGAAATTGTAACTAAAGATAAAACCCAAATTTTAGTAGATACTTCAATTTTGATTGGCTAAGGACTAAAATCAATCTAATATTATCCAATCAAATTACTAAAATTTGGATTTTATCTTAGTTAAAATTTCGTGAAACAGGCCCCTGGTCTCCAACTCTTTTATGTTCAAATGAAATCTTCCCCTACTCGTCGCTTACTGATCCCAGATTTTCAGGAAACTGTTCCATATGCGAAAAAAAAGTAATGTATTTTGATGCTCATTTTGCATCCGAGGTATCTGAAAGCATATTGGCGACAAGCTCTATGTAGTTCCCGGCCTTATCGTTGCCAAGAATGTCCTTCACGACTAGAACAAAGGCCTTCCACGATTTCAGTTCCACTTGGTTCTTTGACCTTCCGCGTTTTAGCAACACCAGAGTTTGTGTACCAATAATTGTGCCCCTGTGCTTCCTCATAAAGTTTGTCTATATTTTTACTCAGGGTTATATAGAAAATGTATATACATTTTATATATACCTTCCCGAAGTTTGATCAATGTGCGTTCAGTATGGAAAATGAAAACATCTATACATGATTATTTAATTAATAATATTGTTTTGTGTGCAATTACTAAAAGCTGGTTGTCAGTAAACAATGATGGGCTACCATATCCCGTCTTTCACAACCCAGTAGAGCCGTGGTGGCCCAATGAGTAAGACGTTTGCTAGCTAGCGTAAGATCCTGTGTTTGATCCATGCGTTGGCCGAGAAAGTTCATCGGGGTTTTCCGGCGTGGTTCTCCCGGGCTATACTATATACCGGAAAAAAACACCATGTTATACTGAATACCGGAAACACCGGAAAAACACTAAATACCGGAAAACACCCTAAATAGGTAACTCGGAGCCTGGTCCTCTGGAAAAACCCGGAAAACCTAACCCTAACTCCCCGCAAACAGAGGACCAGGCTCTGTGTTTCCTATTTAGGGTGTTTTCCGGTATTTAGTGTGTTTTCCGGTATTTAGTGTTTTTCCGGTATTCAGTATAACATGGTGTTTTCCGGTAGTTTTCCGGTGTTTTTCGGTTTTCCGGTATATAGTATTGTCGGTTCTCCCTTGTCAGTGGTGTGGGAATAAGATCTGACAAGGTACACCGTATAGTCTTTCAGATGGGACAAAAACGAGATCCCGTGTACACTTCGGCGTGCACGTAAAAGAACCCTTGAATATAACAGTAGATCATAGCGCCCTGTCCGGGCAAAATTTTCCTCATAGCACAATGTATTGTGTATGCCCGTCTTCATAATCTTTTCTACCACAACCTTAGGTTATTTACTGGAGATCTCGTTGAACATGTCTACAAACGAACTTGCTATGTGATGTTTTTGAATTAATAGATGGCATATTGACAATACATCATACACGTGTTCATTCACTACTTTCCTGACTGCCAGATAAAACTCTATTGATGAATTCGTTTTAGTCAGAATAATCTTTCTTCCGGTTGAAATCGATTAGCTCTGTGCGACTTCAATATCTAATACGATAAAACGGACGATCCGTATTTCTCAACAGCATGTCGTCATATCATCTTGGATCTGCTTATCGTCAGGAAAGAGGAATTGATAATTCTTAGTATTTTCTTTTGTTCCGGGCACACTGATATCGCACCATTTCTACTACAGATTTTTTTTTTTAAATACAATTGGGACTGCTGTAGTTAGAAGTTCTTTGACAACAATTAACTGTTCGTGTTATCTTGTATATAATTGCTTTTAATAAAATGTCAATAAAACAAGCTGTTGCTGAATATCGATAGGGTCTATTCTCTCATAATACCAATGCTTCACAATCCGTTTAAGGACGATATTGATGTCAGCCATTACCGCTTATGTGATACAACTGGATAAAGACATTCCAAATAAAAACATTCTCTACCTAATAATAACATGGTAATGCAAGAATTTTTTTCTATTTTTTTTCGCTCATATTACAACC